AAATTCATGGACCTGTTACACTTTCTGTTAGTGTATAAGCTGAATCAACCATTCTCTATGATGCTACCAATGGAATCGGTCGAATGTACAGGGCCTGCCGAACCCTAAATACTTAATGTTTTTACAAGAAGTAGAAGGACCATACGAAAGATAGGACATGGCCAATTAAGCCTTCAGCAGTTCTTATATCTATTCTTATTCTATCTATATCTTCTTATACTTATTTTACTTTTACAGAAAATTTTAGAGCATTTACCAACGGTTGAGCATATTATTACATATATATCCTCAATATACCCTGCCATTAAAAAGAGTAGGCCGTAAATAAAACGGTTAAGATTGTGATTATAACTAAAAACCCTCAGCTTAACTGTGTTCACTGCCGACTTGGGCTCCCCAGATCAATCTTGTTGACGGGTGATTGCTGATGGCAAAAGATCGACAGAACTAGCTGAGAGAAAGGCGAAACGAAGAATCGGCATGGTGTGGTGGTGAACGCGTTAGCCCTCGGAAGGGTAATATCGCGTTCGTTCCCCATCGCAGGCACCTGCGGCCTGAAGTTTTGCAAATATCTCAGCATCATTGAAGTCATATTATTAGAGTTTCTTCACCACTGAGTGGTTTTGATGGCGTTATATTCATAAAATTACGAAAATGTTTTAAAAAGAACAGTGACTGTCAAGAAAAGCAGAACGAGAGAGAGATTTTTCGATTGAAAATCGACGAGAATCTGCATTATTCATTTTATCTTCGCGTAGTTCTTGTCAGTCGTCAACCACATTTACTTTTTTTCCATTAGCAAAGCCAATTCTGAGCAGGGCCATGCCACTTTAAAGGTCCAGATTGAAAACTGATTGGTTTTCGAACACCCAAATATACGTCGCGTTAGCGAGATGATTGAAGGAAAGAGGAAATGGAATAGGAATGAATTTCTATCGAGAATTCAACCTGATTCTAAGGAAAGTAGAGTGGTTAACACTAAATTATGCAAAATTATATATGAAATCAATTATTAATAATTATTTGTTAATTAATAGGTTAATTAATTAGTATTAAATTAATTATAAGTTAAATGTATAGCTATTATATTACATCACAAATTAATTAATAAATTAATTAATTATAAACAATAAAGTAACCATATATATAAAATTATATTATACAAAATGTATTCACACGTTAGGTGTCGTGTTAGTATCGAGCCGACAGTGAGCGCTTGCCTTCAGCACAAGGGATAGTACTGGAGCGGATTTCCGGAAGAGAGCGAGTTTTGCCTGCGGGAGACGAATAGCTCTCATACCTCATTGTTGTATTGTTAGTTCAAGTTCTGTCATCCGCAGCTAAGTAATGAGGGATGAAAGCCTTACCGCCTGCTGGCTCTGACCGTTTGTGTACTGTGGTAACGCCAAGCAGTGCGTGCATATTCTCGCCACTCACCTTCGTATTTCCTTTTTTTTTATCAGAAATTTTAATCCCATCTTTACAATAAATGATTTTAGGACATAAGCGAAGAATTTCTATAAGACAGCTTACGTTGTTTCGCGAGTTTGGTTCCGCTACAGTATTAGTTAGCTAGAACATCCTCCTTTTTTGTCCGTTTTTGCTTTCATAGCTATTTAAATCATTACTATTACTCTGTTCTTCAGCCAGTAGCTACTCCTGTGAAATTCCTGCTTTCTTCTTGATTCTTCGCATGATTTACAAAAATGGTCTGAAGCTCATCAACAAGGTTTCCATTATTTTTGTATTTTATCAAATGAACAAAAAACTAAATGGCAAATCGCTCGAATTTCGGTGACTCTCAAGGACTCTTTCTATGTGAACGGGCTTACTTTACTTGCTCATCTGCCTTCAGCTAGTAAAAAAACCCATGCCATTGACCTGAGTTCCTGTGTTAGCCTATTACATTCCCGGCGCAGTAATTTTTTCGAAAACGAAAATTCTTCGTTTTTCAGTCAAATCAAGTAATTCAGTTTTTCTCTGAAACCTTCGGTAATGCTCAGCTTTAAAAGAAATTTGTTTGGCTCAAGACAATTTTAAAAAAAGACTTACAGACAACTTTCTAAGAACTTTCATCAACATTTCTAAGTGAAAGCTCATTGAGTTAGTTCTATCGATCTGTGCCGTCAGCAATCACCAGTCAACTGGATTGAGCTGGGGAGCCCACATCCGGCATTAAACCCAATTAAGCTGAGGCTATATTTATAATTACAATATCTCAGCATCATAGTACTTATATTTCGCAACAATACCCTGCCGTTAAAAAGAATAAGCAGTAAATAAAAAGGTTAAGATTGTGATTATAACTATAGCCTCAGCTTAACTGGGTTTAATGCCGTTTTGGGCTTCCCGGATCAAACCCGTTGACGGGTGATTGCTAATGGCAGTGATAGATAGAATTAGTCGAGATACAGGCGAAACGGAAGACCCGCACGGTGTGGTGGTGAACGCATTACTCCCCAGAAAGGACATTAGCGCGTTCGTTCCCCACCGCAAACACCTGCGATCCGGAGTTTTGCAAATATCCCAACATCATTAAAGTTAGATTTCACCATCGTCTGCCCATTTTAATTCTCTTTTGCGACAAAGAAGCACTTTGATGGCTCAGCTGAGTGTGGCGCGGTTGCATTCGGCTGCTGATTTTCGGTTCTGGTCTTCCAGCCGATCACCATCACAGCCGAGTTTGCTGCCATTATTCTATCTCTTTTACAAGAGCAAGATTAGAGTTCATTATCAGACTGACATCTCGAGTCTTCACGAATAAACTCTATGAGCGAAGAATGTCCGCTAAAAAGATTGGTCTGTTACTTTTCAAAAACCTTGTTGCCTTCGTGCCCATTGCGTTATAGCTTCAATAGTTATCGCTTTTAAGCAGCAGCCTTAACCTAAACATTCATCAAATTTCATAAAAAGTTCCGATGTTCGATGGCACGAAAACGACCACTGAGGAGTCATTGATTACCTCTGGCTTGTCGAACACTATTAATGGTCTTCCCTCTTCCTACTGAGGAAAACTCAATAGAAACTGCTGAAAATTGTTGCATTGACGGCCTTGACCATCGGTCCATACCGCCCGTCCGTCGTGCTGCATGCAGTCGAGTCGAGCGCGTGCGCACCAAATCGACCAATAGAGTGCATGTTTAACGTGTGTTGTTTTTGCTACGCTTGAGTACGGTATCAGTTGGCACTAAGCCAAGCTAAATGGAAGCTCGTTTTGTCTCAATTGAACGAAAAAACGAGATGCACCCTTAAAAACCAATCGCGATTACTGTATTCGATGGCATTGTGTTATTACGGTGTTCTCGGATTTCTCTGCATCTTAGGCTAATTACGGCTTTTTGAAGAAACAGACGAAAACCATAGGGACATAAATAGAAAAGATTTCGTTATGCTGACGTTACTAGACTAGCAGTATGCACTCTTTTGAGTGCTGCTAAAGATCACCTACTGTCGAGGAACACGCGTCGATGAAGTCGCAAACAATTGGTTACACTTGGAACAAAACGAGGTTTAACTGGTCACGGGACTTGAGCACCTCTTTGTGAAGTTCGTTGCAAGTGTGTGACGATCACGCTATTCCAGAAGTTTTGCTGAGTAGTGCTCTCAGTTTGAATATCGTTTGCAAAAGTTCTGAAATCAGGAATAGAAGGGCTGCCTTAGTGGTTTTATTTGTACAATCAGCTATTCAGGTGATACAGGTGATACAGGGGATACAGGTGAATCAGCTATTAATTAGGGGCACATCTTTGCATAAAACAGATCGTTAACAACGTGTTTCCGTACATTTGAGTGGTTACTTTTATTTACATAACCACTTCACTTCCAGATTCTGGTTGAAGTAACCTATAAGTTTTAAATGCGTGGGGATTTTTGAAGATGGATTACAAAAGGTGTTGCAGAAAATTGGTGCCAGGACTTTCTTGTAAGTTTATCGCACCACTTAGAAAATATTAATAACTAGAAAATACTATCTTTACAGAAGAATAGGTGAAATCCTACAACGAAGTATTCAAAAATCTCTAGCATAGTCGGAATTGCCAAGAATATTTTGAAGCTGCTTAGATCAAGTGTGGTTATAAGATTACATTAGAAAAGATGTAAACGTCAAGATTTCATCCTTTTTTACGGATACCATAGGCTTGCAACGCTGGATCTGCTCAAAATCCAAAGCAGTGCCTCTGAGCCTCTGAGAGTGCACGCAGGCAGTTCTGACCATTCGGGCGCGTCGGGAGGAGGGGCTCGATGTTCGGATAGTCCCGCCTCCTTTCCGGTACGCGCTCCTCTTACCATCCACTCATATAAGAGGCAAATGAGCACTGACGGCGTGGCTCAAGTGTCGTGGCCAGTTGAGTTCTTCACGGGCTACTTTCTCCTGGAAAGCACCTTAAGATGGTCTGAGTACCGCTTGACACTGTGGCCACCGCCCCCTGGCAGTCAAACCCTTCGGCCGGCTGCCTGATTAGGGTGGCGTGGGCGACAGCGTCTGCACGGTTCCACAGACATCATGAGGTGGGAGTTCATTCATCCCATTCGTTATTTGCTTATGCATTTTTATACCAGTCCACTCCTTATCGTTTAGGGTGAGATATAATTTAAAAAGAATTTTTTTGCTTCTGGTTTAATTCTTACGTATGCCATGCTTACTTCTAATGCTTTCAGTAATATCTTGAACAGTTTTCCTAAGTAATAGGAACCACGTAGGTTATGAGACTTTTGTTTGTAAAGTGTATTCGTCCTTCTTTTGCATGGAGTATAGAAATTTCAGCCATTCTTTTTCGCCACAATCTCACAAGTGTCATCGTAGTCTGCCCATGCCACGTACACCTTGGGTCTTTATGATGTTCGTTTTCGCATACTCCAAGAAAGACTTAGCTAAACAATGCTCTATTAACTTTGAATTGTCAGACTTTTCTACTTTCCATATTCACCTTTATAAGATGGCTATTTACTAACGAATATGCATCATAGGAGTCTAATCATGGTAGGTTACAGCAGCCACAATGACAGCGAACACCTCAACGGGAGTTGTCGACAACGCCTCTTCGAATGCTTTCAGTTTTCCGTCACAATCCGGTCAAATGCCGTATTTCAACTTCCCGTCGAATTACAACCCAACTAGCGATTTTTCCAGGTACTACATTTCGGCTGAGAAAACAGACATTTCAATCACTCCGTCCTATTTTCTCAGTTATTTTGTCAGAAATATTGAACACTGGTATGCAGGACGATTGTGCTTTTTCTTCATTGAAAACTCCTATTCCTTACTTTTCCCACAGATTACTCTATACTTGAGTACTTCGAAAGAGTTCATGGAACGATTAGGCATAGATCTATTACTTAAGACATTGGATAGGAAGTTAATTTATCCTATCCTACGTTAACCTACTTCCGCCCTAACTGGAAGCCCTAAATTGTTCTTTGGCATCTTTGAAACGCCTTAACAATTATACCTCTACCATAGTAATAACTAAACCGTAATCTGATAATAACCTACCGATGAAGGTTTTATTGCTCAACCACCATTGCTGTAGAGTTTGGCTCTTTTCTACAAATGATTTTCTTCTCCATTACACACCTATCTTCAAAAATTGATGGAAGAAGTTCAACTGTAGGCAAATAATAAAAAATACCTTATTAGAAAGGTATTTTATCCAAAACAAGTTACTGTGAAATATGCTACGTCATAGCTACTTTACTCTTCCACTGCCAATGATTCAGCTGTTGGCTGATGTTTAATTCCTCCAGTAGTTAACCACTTTCAATTGTAATGATCTAACTTTACAGTAACCTTTTTAAAAAATTCTTACTGTGTATTATACGACTAAAAACAGTCGCTTCTCTTGTTATCTGAAATCTGTAAAGATCAGTGACGAGTCTTTTGCAGTTGGGCGAACGCACAATCGACAGCTAGCTGGTACCAACCCGATCCACGATTCGCAAGTAAGTAAACACCACACCGGATACGGTAGTCTTCGCAACGAGCTAAAGCCGTACTTGTGCGTGATGTTTGTGTGCGTGTGTATGTTTGTGGAGTTACATCATAGGTGTATTGCCATGGGTTTCGAAGAAGTTCACGGGCGCTCAGCCACCATCCAGTGAATTTGAAGCAAAATTGGCGGCGACCAGCTAGGATGGCGCCAGTCCCGAAATCTGTTTGGTTATTAGTGTCTAATTGAGCACACCATGCTGGTGTGAGAAACCGGCTCGAAGCAAATTATACTCTCAATTTCACACCACTCATTGAATAAACTCGTTTCTTGACAGCAGTTAGTAGAGTTATGTTCATTATCAAACCAGAATAATCGACTCAAATCGCCACCAAGTTGAACGAATATACATCCAGTGTGTCGCTACAGTAATGAGTGGCAGCAGAGAGACCTCCACCGCCTTTTGTGTAGTACCTGAAAGCTTCGTTGATTTTCAAAACGAATGGAGAACACTTAAATGGATCTTTCTCCCATATTTTAAAAGCGGTGGACGCGTGACACGGTTTCGTTAGGTGTACCCATATAATCGCTGGCTTGGTCCTCACCCCAAGCATAGCAACCTCCATTCTTCAGGAAGCGGCAAATTGTTACCGGACTAGTCTAAAAAGAAGAACAACGCTGGGTCTATTCAGAGATGTGCAACAACAACTCGTTCTAGAGACCAACTATGCATTCAGTTACTTCTGATTTGAAGAGGATTGAATAGCTGGTAACTCAAGGATTGTTGATAACACCTAACGCTTTGCCCTTTAGTCCTCTTCCATGCCCTCTAGTTTACGCTTTTATCATGCTGTTAAAAGTGAACTACTGACTAGGTAATATCCCAAAGATGTTTGCAACTTTTTCGTATTTCACTGTGTTACCACTACAGTACTGCGACCCCGGTAGATAGTATCGTAGTTTAGAGACGCAGATGTCAGCAAATAGAACAGGTTGCGTTTCTCATGCCCACGAGTTCTCACCTCACTCCACTCCCTTCTCCATCGCCATGCATAAACACACTATGTGCCACAATGCAAAGCTCCAAGCATTGATTGAATTGATGAAACACATCTAGGGTTCGTTCACAGGCGATATGAGGCTTGTCCAGGTCTGTAGGACGCATTCAAACAATAATGATCTATTCCCGTCTACGGTTTTAGGTCTTTTGCGATTGTACGAAATGAAACCTTCGTGAGTTAAACTTTCCTTGAAAAGAAACAAGTATTGCCACTAGTTATTTACGATTTCGTTCCTCACCTCTAACACACTTTCCAGAAGTTATTAAAGTTCATTACGCTAGAAAGGTTATTCAGTTATAACTGAATGTGATCCAGAACCCTTCGCGATTCGTTGGTGTTTTTGAGATGCGCAACAACCAATTTTGATCTCCTGGATTATGTTCTCACTTTCTAATTGGTCACTTCAGTCGGAAAGCTGTTAAGACTTAGAAGCACAAATGCTCAGCCCTAGTCAAAGAAGAAGAATTCAAAATCACTCAAAAATGAGTAGTTTCGAAGTCCTATTCTAGAATCTGTTTCTACCTGCTTTTATACTTACCAGGTGTAACTTCTTCTATTTTTTTAAGATAGCAATACGATCATAGTGTGCGAAAACTTGGAAAATAGCTGTCCAAACATTTTTGGAATGTGGAATTTAGCGAGAGCTATAAGAAAGAGGAACTTAGGAAATATCATGGGTACAGGTAATGATGCGATTCCTTCACCTATCATGATAAGTACTTCCAACCTCAACATTTTGAGTGAATAAGTAGAAACGATCGGTCATCCTCTCGTTGACTAAATCCGCCCAGTGGGTGCTGGAACAGAGGTCAATTGAGTGTGATTCTAGCCCACTACGGGGTGCCGTCCATGTCAATATGGCCCAACTAGCGCTCTCAAAAATCGCTTAGCCCTAGTCACGGCCAGAGGGGTGAGAAACCCTGTGCATTAAGGAAACTGCTTGGCCAGCTACCGTAGCGGTGGGGTGACCCTGTTTAGCATATTGGATTATCACGCATTACCATTTCGAGAATTACGTAACGTAGTCGGTGAGCGAGTAACTCGATCGTGCACGCAATAGTGCCACTTGAGGTAGACGTGTAATATGAATGGATTTCGAGCAGGTAAGCGATCGCGTACACTTAGAAAACTCCAGACATTGCCCATTGTTAAAAAATTATTGGCAATCTTGAACATTTTGTGGCCTTGACGGCATTCTGAATGCTCCTAATAACAACTGTAATGGGCAAAATAAAGCTGTCAGGAAGAAGTAGGAAGAAGAGAGTAGAAGTTATTTGCCATCGTGTAGTGATTAACAGTTGATAAATAAGCCTTATACAGTGAAAGTACACCTGGCAAGGAAATTTTTCTCTGGACGATATCATGGCAATTCTGAGCGGAAAGCTGGATGATAACTATATTTTTGACCGTAAAAAGTGGAGAAGATTTTGCACTGAAAGGTAGTGCGGTGTATCTTGACTTTCAAAGGCTATGGCTTTCTGCTAACAAAGACATCTATGACCCAAACCTTAGCGTTGATTCGGTGCTGAACATAGTGGCGCGGTGCAAGGTCAAGAACATCTGCCATGAACTCACTCTGTTTGTCTTCCCCTCTTTTTGTGTTTATCAAGTGGGACACACCAGAATTCTGCCAGCATTACACTGCTGTATCTCCATAACAACTCGTAAAGGAACTTGTGCTGAGAAGAAACACGAAATCGCGCTGAAGTTTTGGAGAATTTGAGGAAAGTTTTTAAGACGGAAAGTATTCTGGGGCTGGGTAAAAATTTTAGCACCTTAGAAAACAGTTGCACTTTTTTTTCTCTTTTTTAAATATACGCTGGCAATGGTTACCAAGAACAAACGGTTTTCTTACATGTCTCGATGAGAGGTCGAAGAGCCGAGTGCCAATATCGTGGTTCTTCCTAAAATCTCCGGAAATTGACACTTGTCCGATGAACAATTGACAGCGTACCGTAGTCAAATAATACCACGAGCACCGGAAGCGTGTGTTGTTTGATATGTAGGCTAGTAAACAGTTGTCATGACACAGGTGTTCAGCGTGAATTTTCTAGTAAATCGCTTCGGAGGTCCAAATCTTGGACTGAATATTGCCGCATCACAAGGACTGGTGAATTCGATGAGCCGGCGAAAACGACGAGTGCTTTTCACACAGCAACAGGCAAGTAAACGTATTTATTATGATGATGAATTATTTGCAAAGTTAGTAAGATTCATTTGCTTTAAAAAAAGCTTGAGTTTCTAACATGATATTATATGTAAACTTTTATGAAGTTATAGCAAGCTTAGTAATTTATGAACTCCTTTATGTGAAGTGGATGCTTAAGAAAAACGATGTAGAGTTAAATTTTTTCAAAGCGTTATTCAAATCAAAGATTTCCCGGTGAAGAAGGCCTGGATAAAGCATGGTTGGAAGAAGGGAAAGACGTGCCAGCCATGATAGAACCACTATATTCCCTCTTAGATTTTTATTGAAGGCCTTAGTTCTGTCACCAATAAAGCTTTAGAATAGGTTGAAAGCGCTGCGCATTGACCATCATCAAATTGATTAAAGATTTTGCGAAGGCTCTGACCACTGGATCACGGAACTTTCTGAATACCTGAGCATTACTGGTACTTCAAAATTTTATTTAGTCAAGTAGCATTTCTCAAGTGTTCGTACGAACCTGTTGTGCTAAATGAAAAATGTCAAACGAAGAACTTGTGTTCTTAAATAAATAGCTCGTTCTTTATAGGTGAATGAGTTGGAGCGACAATTTCGACATAAGAAATACTTAAGCGCTCAGGATAGGGAAATCCTTGCCAAGAATATCGGCCTGTCACCCACTCAGGTACGTCACCATGCTTCAGAATCCTAGCTGCTGAAAAACACTTGACGATTCTGATGCACCTGCCACTTATGACGTAATCAGCGGTCAAAGGACACCGACTAACAAACGATTTGCTACTGGCTTTCCCATTCCTATTCTTTCATTAATATCTCGTGACCACAAAGTTTACCCAGCTATCACTGCTATTTGAAATCCTAAAAATGTTCAGCAATAGCGAAAATTTCTTTAGTTATTTCACAAACTATTTAATCACGAGAAAGGTAATGTTTTGAAGAAAACCTTTTGAAAGTGCAGAAACTTCTTGTCTCAAATCACTGCTTCTGGTGTTCGCAGTGTGCTCTACCGCTAATCATCGTTCCTCTTCCTAAAAACCTTCTTCGTAGCATTTCTTTCCTGCTTTCGGACCTATCCAGTCCCTTTGGACGGTTCTGGTTCCGCGCTAAGGCTATGTGTATGTCGCTATTGTCCTCAAACATGTCTCAACTAAATTTTAGCCAATCATCAATCGCACAGTGCGCACGTCCTTCCAGGGGCTTAATAGAATTCAACGGTTATAAAAAATACACTAGTCTATTTTAAGGTGAAAATCTGGTTCCAAAACCAACGTTACAAACATAAACGGCAGGATAAGGAAAGGGCGATGAGTAAGGGTGGAAGAGAGAACAGTGAATCTCCTGGAAGTCATGACGAGAGCGATGGCGAAACCGTGACATCTGAGTGAGTTCGAAAGATTGCTGCCTTTTTTTCAAATATTTAGTGAAACTAGATGGCCTGTTAGACGACATTCACTTAATCTCATCCTTTTATTTAAACCAAGAAGTACTAGAAACGTTGGAGGGTTAGACAGTTCGACTGTGCGTAAGATCGAAATCTCAAGTTGTAACTACTCCAGTCAGAGAAATCATGAGTTCTATTTCACAAATCGTTAGGAAAAATTTGATGTAAAGTTTCGGTGAATTAAATATAAAGGTGATTCATTCATTAGTGATTCTTCAGTAGTATTAAAGCCGAAAAAATTGACTCTGAAGAAAAGCCATCGGCATTCCCATCTTCGGCCGTCAACGACGCCTCCTGTCTTCCGGATATCAATAATCCGATTTATCAGCAGGTGAATTTAAATTGGCTCCAATTTCAAATTACCGTAATCCTGTCAAGCGTGAATCCTCCTCGTTCGTCTCTGCCTAACGAATCTTGTTTGGTCGATGTTTGAAATCAAGTGGTGTCCTTAGTCAAATGCGATTTGAAATCCCACCACTTATGTATTAGGGACTACGGTGTGAAGAATCTACTATTTTTTTGTACTTCATTGGTTTTCCATTATTAGTTCCTACCGCGGTCGCCCAATTTATGACCTGAGATCTTCACCTGAATCCTAAGTCTAAAGAATGCAAAGGATAGACAGAGCTGTCATTTCAAGTATATTGATGAAGAATCATACGAAGCCTGCACTGAAGTTGGCGCTATTTTGGAGCCTGTGTTAAAAATTCGGGATCTTCTTCAAGGTACTAAAATTTCTCTTCACTCATGTCTATCTATTCATGGCTGCTTACTGGTTGTAAAATCCAGTACAATAGTGTAGGTTCCATACGAATATGCAACAAGTGCTGGAAAAACTGCTAAAATATTCTGAAAGTTGAGCTTAATGACATAAGATGACTTGAAGCATAACTAAGTAAATTCACTTTCCTTGTTTTAGCCATCATCTATGTGGTTTTTATTGCTGTTTCAGGCGATGTACCAACAGCATGCGGCTTATATTCCACAAGGCATCCCGTTTCCATTCCCTCAGGGCTATCCAGCTACCGGTCAATATCCATATTCACAATATCGATTGTGATTTTAATATTAGGAGAACCAATGTCGCTTTGACGCCAACACGGGATATAATCGCCGTTTCTGCGTTACTCTCTTCACTATGGTGATTCTAATTTATCATTTTTAGTATATGTACCGTCATATGCAGAGTATTGTCTGTAATAATTCGTACTTTGCGTTGAGCTCAATGCATCCATCAATTCGCTGCTCGAACTATGTACATTCTATGTGTTATGCTGTTAGTGATGATGTCTGCTCGTCAAGGCGACAACCATGGTGCTTGTGTTAAATTATTTATTGCAGGTACTATAACAATTATTGTATGCATGTATTTGTTTGATGAGGCGACGAGCACTTGAAGATGAATAAAAGTGTGTGCATTAAGAGGGAATGCCCACTTAACACGCACATCGGGAATCTATTCACTAGACTGATCACTTGAAGTCATTCTCACTGCCTCTGCCGTCATCATCATCGTCGTCATCATACGGAGAAATTTCGGAGAACAGATGGCCGACCGCCTGCGCACAACAACACCTTGAGAACGAACCCGTTCGTATTGTACTACTACCGTCGCTCTCTATCCTATTGTTCTCCATCACGGTGAAAGTGTTATGGCACACCTCTTCATTACAGTAGCTACGATGCTGTATCAAAACAACAACAACTGTAGTGCAGACATATGAGGAGCACTTTAGTCATGAGTGCACAGTTCATTCATTAGTTTTTTGCTCTTAAATGGCACACATACATCGCAGTGCAATCTCCTTCTGTAAATAGATTAATATCTTCTTTACTGGTTGCCATTAAAAGCATAAAAACACACAGCATTCACATTTATCATGTTAGCTAATTCATAAAGGATGAAGGACAAAGCTATCGGCGTTGATCAACCCCTGAGGAATGAGTTATTCAATTGACTTCGTTCTCGCGGTGGCTTACGTCGGTGTTGCTATCTTCGCAGACAAGTTTGGTACCAATTTACCGACCTCGAAAGGATATAAGGGTTTGTGAGCCTGGACGCGTGATAGATCCCACATGAATTGCGGGGTTTTTTTGACCATTGCGCCATACGCATTTCTAGTATATGCATATAATCTGCATATGTAAACTCTCTTTTCTACCTTAACATCAAAACTGAAAAGGCATATTTCGAGTTTTTACATATGCATTTCAATGGGCAGTTGTCTCTGAGAGAGGCTTTCTTGCAAAGAAATTCACCGAACGATTTGAGGTTTGCTCGTGTACTAGAAATTCGACGGCGGATTTGAAAGGGGTCATGCATAAATCGGTCTATTTTGCACGTAAATGCAGCAACATTACAGAATTGAGTAAGGATCTTAGTTTCAGTGGGAAATTTTTTTCCTTTGTTTATTTTTTTAACTTCCCACTCTTTTTGCTTATGTTTCTTTCATACACAACCACTTGGCTGCAGCGCATGTCCTTTTATTCCAAAGCCTAGATTCACAGTAGCGGAAACACTCGTATTTCCTGAAAATGAGAATAAAACGTTCCATTTTCGTTGTTGATTTAATACTTAACTGTCAAATTAGTACTATAACACTAATAAATATTATTTGAATTGTATTATAAAACAGATGCAAAAGGTGAAGTCTATGAAAGGATTGAATTCACAGCCCTGCTCCTAAGTGAAAGATTTACCAAAATTTCAACTTCACAAATTGGCGATTGATCGACGGATTAAACAATTGATAGCATCAATCATTCACCAGTAGTTCGATGACTTTTCCATTGGAATTGGCGTTCACAGCTGCTCTCTGTGAACTCAAATGATGGGCGTTTTCTTGAAATAGTTGCTGACGAGCAGATTCAGACAGGTTTCCTCGAAGATAGCATTCTATATTGTTTTTTCTAGCTAGAGCTTTAACACCGTGAGCTACTTCTTTTTAGATAACGTCAAGGACGGATTGTATGAGATGTTCTAAAAAACAAGATCAATGACAAGTTACTTCGCTTTTCGGTGGTTAACTAGTAATCCGCTATAAATGTGTTCCACTTCCCTACGAAGAAAATAGAAGTAGCTGGACATTGTCAAGTACTTATACTATTCCAAATCTGTAGGCCTCCCATTTTTAGCACAGTTTTATGCCAATATGATAAACCACGGAGGCAGTGTAGGGCAGTGGTTAGGGTTGCCCCTGTGAAGCACTTCCTCATCAGTTCCATCTCACATACTGCGCTAAACGACCCACCGATCTCTCTCGGATTAACAGAATTGGTGTCTACTGGAAGGATATGAACACTTACCTACAGTTAGATACATCAGTAGGCCACGCACATCATTGCATGCGGTAAATGTGTACTCAATCGCTTCAACGATGCAATGAATGAAGTCGAGTGTATGTTGCGTTCTTCAGGTGTTAGCCAGCACCAAACTCTCTACATTTTTTCAAACCGATTAATTTCTTTGCCTGCTTATTCAATAAATCATTTGTTTATTATCCAAACTTTCTCAGTAACGTCTTTACTTTTACGGAAAGTTCTAGAAAGTAGTTCAAGTAAAAGGAAATGAAGCAGATATTGTGAAAAAACGATCAATAAGCGTTTTCTCCATACAGTTTTGCTTGCCGTTATTCTTTAGCAGAAATTCTTTCATCTGTGCACCGGAACCGTCACCCACTCCGACATTATTCGACAATTAGGTAATATTGTGGGAATGGTTAAAAGGTTTGCCCTCGCTTCGATTACCGTAGTCCTTTGGCGGTGGATCGCGCAAAAGATGCGCTTATGTTTGTGCAAACTAATTGACCTAAGCGCGCTACCACAGTGAATCTTCAACAAAGATCTGTCAACGATACGGTCGGTACACCCGGGCCATGATTCTCGTATTCCGCTGAGTAGGAAGTAATGTGGGAAGCGACAATGGTCATTTCGTCTTTCTTTCCCTGTTTGCACTAAGTGAAATGCCTTTTCACGTTATGTGAAGTGCTCTGTCAAGAATATACTCGAACGAGTCACTGTATCCACAAATCACGAAGTATGAAAACGTTGGAAGTGGACTCGACCCGCGTCTACATCAGGAGTTATGATCGAACTGAACCATTGAAGCAGGGGAGTTTTTCCAATATTTAGAGTATTTATTTCTAAAATATAGAGTAATTTCGACGCGGCAAATATTTGGAAGTAGAATACAGCCACAAGGATACTAAGATACGAAGAGAAGTCGTAACCTTAGGTGGGCTTCGAAACGGCAATTACAATTTTCGGGCGCTCACGTGTTATCCACCACAATAACCGAGGGCCTTGTTTCGCTCACCTCTCAGCCATGATTTTATTCTACCAGTGCTATCAACAATCACTCGCTGTCAATTTAAAAAAAGCAGGAAATTAGAAATAGTTAAAACATTGTGGTTTCAACTCCCGCTTCAGCTTAACTGAGTTCAATGCCAATTGGTGTTCCTCAAATTGCTCGCGTTGACGGGTGATTGCTGATGGCATCGTTAGAGTAAAAAAACTGGCTGAGTAAATGCAATACAAGGACTCGGTTGGTTTTATAGATAGCCGGGTCCGAAGACCAACCTAGGTTGGTATATCGACCACTCATGTCGACTTTAATCGAAAGTCGGCTTTCGAAATAAACGTGCACGCATACATATATACATACATACATATATATGTGCTTATACACATATATGTATATATATGTACGTATACATGTGCATAAATGTGTGTACCGATGGTGCAAATACTGAGAATGCAACTTTTCTTAACCCATTTTGGCATCAAAGGGATCATTTCCACATATGAGGCGCCAGAGTGCAGAAATTGGGAATTCCATGCGGAATCACTATGTGCTGTCCGGGTAGGATGTTCCGTAACGGTGTGCTAATGAGATTATCGCCGCTTAGTGAGCATTGTAACTCAATAGGACGTACTCAATGAACCACGGGCTCCAGATGCTTTCAAGTACCGACCCTACAAACAAAAAGCTACAGTGCTCCGGCCAACCATAGTTGGTTTTTTGCTATTCTCGTGAATGCAGAATCGGAGGGGAGGTTGAGCTTACGCAGATGGCCTCAATATGAAAACTAATCTTTGGCTTATTTTAAACTTTTTAAGCTATTCATTTTAAGGTAATCCGATCATTTTTAAATGCGCGGATACAACCACAATGATGCTGAGGCATTTGCAAAACTCCGGACCGCAGGAATAGGCAAGAAATAAAACCTAGTACACTATGTGGATAGAGTTTTCAGAATTTCATTGAATACGAACTTTCAACCTTTGGAGTGAAAAAAAATGATTGGAAACAGGAACGACGAGAAGAGTTTCAGTGGAAAAGCCAATGATTTCAAAGTTCTACAAACATTCCGTGAGAACATAAAGTCGGATGCAAGATAAAGGGTAGAATACCCATATTCTGATTAATGTAAAAGCTTGCTATAAATGCCTAGCGAAAAATCCTATCAGCAGGCACTCTCCGATTTCGTGTCAACCAGCAGTTCGATTGAAAAAGCCTTAATGGATAATATTTTCTAATACATGTTTCAAAATCGAGATCTAATAGTCCACATCTGCACCGTTTCAACAAGAATTAGTTCTCCTTGCAACACTTCTCACCTACACATCGAGAAGGAAGAAAAAATCGTTTTGATTCCGAGGATTCTGAAGCTGCTCTTAGTCAAACAACCCACAGCTTTCTCAATGAGCAAATACAGCCTTGTTATTTCATTCTTTATTCACAAAATAACCGAAGTTACGGCGGAGTTCGTGTTCTTCAGAGCGTGAGTAAGGTCTAGTTGACCGCAATGCAGTCAGAAAAAAAACCTTCCATAATCCAAACAGAAAAACCGCGAAGCCAAGAATCGAATCATATTGGAAGCAAAATAGCTTTCTTTGGCTTAACCATTTCCTAAAGGCCTCTCGCATATCGTCAAGGTAGTCAGCCTCATCTCAACTTGTGCCGTTTGGGTGAGTCGTCACGAATTCATGACCGTGTCGTCTCGACGACCTCACTATTGTCTTGTACGGAATGGAGCGCTTTTACCACTACCATATAGT